TTAGCATTCGTTATGAACTCATTACTTTTCAACAGTGTTCTGTATTAATTTTTAGGAGAATACTTAGAAAATAATTTTTTTTAATTTTAGAGACTGGAGTTCAGGCTTTTACAAATTTGCTTCCCATCTCCATCTTTATAGTTTTGTGTTTCTACCATAATGGTGACATAGCAACATTTTCATGACCTGAAAAGTTTCTCATGCCATTTTGTATTGTGTCTTCTCTGTTCTCTGCCAACTACCGATCTATTATTATTATTATTATTGCTATTATTACAGGTTTGTCATTGTTAGCCTTATCAGAGTGAAGGAGTCATATAATATATAGACTTTTTTATACATGAATGGCCTTCCCTGGCTTTTGCAGCATGGATTTGATCATTTAAATTGTTTTATGGATAAATTGTTCTTTTTAATTGCTTTTAATTTAATTATTCCATTGGGTCAGTATTTCACTGTGCATTCTCTATTAATGAATATTTGTTTCTAGTTTTTATTATTAATAATAAAATAGATAGTCATATCTCATGGGAAGGTTATGTTTACTTTTTAAAGAAACTGGTAATCCACTTTTCAAAGTAATTTTTCATCCCCAGCAGTGATCATGAGAGTTTCAATTACTTTCCATCCTTTCCTATACGTTACATTACCGGTTTTTAAAGATTTTTTTTCTTGTATAAGTGATGTAGTGGTACCCCATATTGGCTTTAATTTGTATTTCCCAATATGTTGAATATTTTATGTGCTTAGTTACTATCTCCATATCTTCCTTGGTGAAGTATGTTTTAAAATACTACGAACATTTTTAAAGGTTGCATGTATCATCATTGTTAGAGTTACATGAATTTTTTGTCATTTCTTCTCTATAACACACACACACACACACGTATTTGTAATTTTCCCTCACAATATAGGATTTGCCTTTTCATTTTCTCCTTTCTGTGTTAAGTAAAAGTATAAAGTTTAAATTCTGTTAAATTTGTTATATGAGGTGGGATTAAAAACATGGTGAATGTTTAAAAAAAGCTACTAAAGTAAAAGACACATTTCCATCCTCCTCAGAATAACCCCTGCTCTTGAAGCCCCATTTCCCTTCTTTCTTGTCTCTCTGTCAAGATGTCCAGAAGTGTTCTTTCATGAGGTTCTAGTTGTACTCTCATGGTTGCCTCTGTATCCTGAATCAAAATCTTTACTTTTCCTGGTCATTTTGACTTCGGGAAGGAGCTGGAAGTCTCATGGTGCCCAGTCTGGAGAATGAGGTGGATGGGGAACACACTGTGATGTTTTGATGAACCTGCGAATCTGTTGGCTGGCTTGTGGTAGTAACATTCATTGTATTTTTGTTCATGCCTTGTAAATATGTGTAAGAGGACTTCCAGAACTGCTTCTGAAGGTGCTGAGAAAGATCGGACAAGTGAATTTGAAGAGAGGGGAACATTCTGAGGAGGATTAATGGGAATGTGTCTTTTATTGTAACAAATGTTTTTTAAAAATTAAAACTTCATTGTATGTTTTGATTACTTCTCATATGTATATTTTCATGTATCCTCTTCTGTTTCAGAAATAAATAACAGAAACTTTTGTGCTTTTTTTTGTTCTAGATACTGTATGATTTTGGATACTCTAGTTTTAGATCTACAATATTTTTTTTGTTTTGTTTTGCTTTTGGTTTTTTGAGGCCAGTGTCCACTCTTGTGTTGAGGTTGGCTTTGAACTAAGTAGCCCAGGCTGACCTCGAACTTGAGACAGCTTCCTCAGGTGTCACCATGCCTGATCTAGGAAAGATTTTTTTAGCATAATATGATATATAATATATAATTTTTGCATATTATACTTTTGATATCTTTTGATCCAAAGATTGTCTTATCGTTTAATTATATTACACCACTCATGAAAATCAATTGGCCAAACAAGTGTGTTTTTCAAGACTTGCCGGTTTGTACATGTTAAGGGATTTGTTTGTGCCATATTCCATTTCCTTCTTTATGTTTATTTGTCTCTCTTATTTTTCTTGAACACTTGGACTAGAGATAGCAGGTATTTGCCATTTTCAAAAAATCAATTGATTTTTGAAAAGAAAATGTTTTTTATATTTTCAAGATTTAGTTTTGATTTTTCTCTTCTTGCTTACTAATTTTTTTCCTAGTTACATTTTAAATTCTCATTCTATCTTTGTTGGTTTTAATTTACTCTTCTTTTCCTACTTTTTTTTTTTTTTTTTCTTTTTTTTTTTTTTTTTTTTTTTTTTTTGGTGCTGGGACTCAAACCCAGGACCTTGCACTTGCGAAGCAGGTGGCAGAACCACTGAGCTAAATTCCCGGCCCCTTCCTACATATTTTTAAATCTTGAAAGTTGTACACATTTCTTGGGAAGTGTGATGCTTGCATACATTGTGCATCTCCTCTCCTACTTTCATGGTGAAAAGTTTAAAATACAGTCTATTCAAAATGTACAGTGCATTATTGTTATCCAGAGTTACCTTACTGTGCAGTATCACACCAGAATCTGCTGCTATCTAACAGTAATTTAGTGTCCATTAGCAAGCTTTCTTTATCCCTCCCTATGTCCTAGGATTCCAGTTTTGGTAGACACCATTCTACTTTCAGTATCTATGAGGTCAGCTTTTTTGATTTTCACATGAATGAGATCATAGAAGTGCTTATCTTCATGTGCCTGGTTTATATCACTTAATAAGCTGTCTCCAGTTACATCTGTGCTGTTGTTAATGACAGGATTTCATTTTTTAAAAATGTCTCAGTATAATTCCATTGTATAGCTATATCACATTTTAAAAAATTCATCAGGTGGTGGACACTTTGTTTCCATTTCTTACCTGCTATGACTAATGTTGAAATAAGTGAGAGTGCAGGTATCTCCTACATACTCATTTTTTTTTTTTTTTTTTTAGATAGGGTCTCACTATGTAGTTCAGACTGCCCTGGAACTCACTATGTAGCCCAGGCTGGTCTTGAACTTGCAGCAATCCTCCTGCCTCAGCCTCCTGAGTGCTAATATTACAGGTGTGCACCACCACCCCTGGCTTCCCACATACTCATTTTGTTTCCTTTAGGTATATACCCAATCAAGGGATTGCTAGATCATATGCTAGATCTATTTTTAATTTTTTAAAGGAGGTGAGGTTTAATTTGACTTACCTTTAAACATTTTTTAAAATTAACCTCCATACTTTTTCTATAATGGATGTACTAATTCCAACAGGGTGCAAGAAATTTCTTTTCTCTATATCCTCACCACTACTTGTTTTATGTAGTCTTATTTTTTTTTTTTCGGTGTGTGTAATCCTTTTAATAACCATTCTTCAGTAGGGTGATGCTATTTCTCATTGTTTCAATTTTCATTTCTCGGCTGATTAGTGATGTTAAACTTTTAAAATATTTGTTGGCCATCTGTGTATCTTTTGGGAAATATCTTTAGTTTTTATGCTTATATTTTTAAATTGTGTTTTTTCTGTTAAATTTTTTGAGTTCCTTATATATTCTGTGTATTAGCTTTGTGGTTTGTAGTGTTTTTCCTTGCATATGGTTGGTTGTCTCCTTGTTCTATGGATTGTTTCCTTTGCTTTACTGTGTTTGATGTCATCCTGTTGTGTATTTTTGCTTTTGATATTTTGTCCACGAAATCCTTGCTTATTCTAATATCCTAGTTTTTTCCCTATGTTTTCTTTTAGTTTCATGTATTGCCCTTTAGCCTTTATTTTCCTACTTTTTTTTTTGAGACAGGTTCTCACTATGTGGTTGAGACTGACCTGGAACTCACTATGTAGCCCCAGGCTGGTCCTGAACTCACAGCGATCCTCCTGCCTCAGCCTCTCCTGAGTGGTGGGATTACAGGCATGAGCCACCATGTCTGGCACTCCCTGCTGTCTTTAGAGGGATATAATGAATTGTTAATCTGTGTGCAGAGCACCTTGTGTTAATTTTCATAGCTTTGTAATAGTTTTTATCATGTGGACTGCAATTCCATACATGTCAAATTTTTCATTTCTGATACTCTTTAGGTTTAGTTCTTGTCTGATAATTTTTTGATGAGGTTTTGAAATCTTTTTAGAAAAGCTTTCAGGTTGTGATATTTTATATAGCTTTTAAAGAAAACTTTTGTTGTTTATTTTGATACAAAGTCTAGGCTAGGTTGGACCTTAACTTTGACCCTTCTGCCTCAGCTTCTTGAATACCTGGACCATTTTATTCTGTATTGAATAAATGTTTAAAACATTTCTTTACATTTAATCCAAGGTAGTAAAAGCTTTTGATTTTTAATGCCATAGTGTGTGTTAAAATTTCATTTTCTAATTTTATTTTTTTTAGAAATACAGGTAATATTTGCATATTAACCTAGAATCTAGTGACTTATTAATCAACTGTAGAATTTGTTTATTGAGTGTGTTTTATGTATTATTGGGCTTTGTATAATAAGATTTTCAACAAATAATGGTGGCTTTATTTTTTTCATTGTAGTAATTACTTCTCTTGACTTATGTACACAATGTGCCCTACTGTGTTCAGTCATGTTTAAAATGAAGTTTTTTTAGAGTAAAATCTTTCAGTATTGTATAATTATATATATTTTTTGCTAATTTGGTTTTGAGCATAGTACTCTTTTACCAAATTAAGGAATATTTTTTGTCCTAAATGGGTTTTACACTTTTTTGAATCTATTGAGATAATCATGCAGGCAGTTATTTTTTCTGCATAATATTGTTTTCTGAAAGACATATGTGTATTTTTCTATTCCCTTAATTTTGACTTCTTACATTAAATTGAGTGGAATGTACTATGTCAAGTTTCTGGTAAAGTCTGAATCAGCTTGCTAATATCATATTAATAAGGGATTTTAGTATTGTGCTATAAAAAGGCATGGTTTATTGGAAATAAATATATATAACTTATCTGTGATGTCATCAAATCCAGGGCCAGCACTCTACCACTGAGCTACATCCTTGCTTTCCTATTTAAAAATAGTGCCTTTCTTTTTTCTTTTAGCACAAGCCCATCTTATTGCTGTGTGGATCTGTATTCACTTCGTACTGGGGAGATGGTCAAATCCATTCAGTTTAAAACACCTATTTATGATCTTCACTGCAACAAGAGGTAAGCATTTATACCTTCTGGGCATAGTAATTTAGTAATCTAGTAATTTCATGATAAATTTATTAGAAAAGACTTTCCAGGAAAATCCTTCCAAATTATGTCCATTGAAAAAGCTGCTATAAGTTTTCTTGGTAGATATGTTCAGACTTCCAGTCTTGACTCACTGGGGAATTATGAATTCATTGTAGTGGATATAACCATAATGTTAAAAACAACATGCAAAAGAATTGAAAGTATCTGAGAAAAAATAGCTTAGTTTTCCTGAGAAAACTTTTATGTGTACAATGTATATTTGTATATTTATTGGTTTATTATGAGAACTGTGATTTTGGTGGGAGGACTCACTAAAACTTTTGAAAAGTGTGTTTCTAATTGTAAAATATTCTTTAACTTTTTAAAAAGACTGCTGTACACTTCATAATGTAGCTGAAACAGGCACTGGATTGATTTTCCTTCTTTCATGTGATAATATTCAGATCTAGGCTGAACTGCTCCCTGACTTCTTTTTTTTTTAATCTTATTTAGTTTATTGGTACTTTTAAGTCCCTGACTTCTAATGACAAATTAACCACAGAATGTAAGAAAAGAAACGAACCTTTGAACTCTTATTATACAGTTCTTACATTTTATATTTGAAAAACTGAAACCCTATGATGATTAATGCCATGATCACCAATATTGAATATAAGGTATAAATCTGCTGTCATCTAAGAGCAACAGATAAAATATAACAAATGAAATATTTTCTGCTATTTCAATAAATTCAAGGGAAACAAGATATTCTCAGGTTAGAGATGCTTCAAAAAGGCTTATTAACAATGCAAAGTAAGGATAATCACAGTTGTTGCAAGTATTTGAATTTAACTTCAAAAACACAAAAGTTAAAGGAAATAGAGGAAACAGCATAGTAGTTCTAGGGTAGCAAGTTAAACGAATCACATATAAGTGGTAAACAACATTATTGGATAGTTTGATCCCATAAATAATTCATTTAATTCAGAAACCTTCTTTGTCCTTTTGTGAACTAGGTTACTTGTTATTTAGCAAAAAAACCCAAAAAAACAAAAACAAAAAACTAAGAAACAAAAAAGAAACCAAAACATATTGTAAAGGAAGGAAGTACAGAGATTTTTAGAGCACACTTGTATTACTTGTTTAAAACTTCCCAAGTACTTACTTTTTTGAGTTATCTTAAAATCGAGAGGAAATCAAATCTGTAATTATATATCATTGAAAAATTAATAGCAAAATATATCTGAAGAAAAGCTTTAGGAGCTAAGTACAAAAATTTGATTCACCAGAGGTTGTGGTCATCTATATCTGAATTTTCTCATTCTGCAAAAAGCATATAGACCTATAAAAGCAATTATAAAGTCACCTGTAACTCATGGTTAGTTCATAATTATGCAAGAGCGAATAATGTAACTTGAAAGTTTAAACATGAGACCAGCAGACTCATTGAAGAACCTGTGCGAGATGGTATGACATAGATTATGTTGAAGAAAAGACAGTAAATTGTGTTATTTTTTCCTAGATATACTGCACTTTAAACCATTAGAAACCCAGTAGTTTAAAGCACTAAGAAGTTACCAGAGGATGGGAACATTTGCAGGAATAGATGTGATCATGAAAACAACTTCTGTTAATGGGGAAGACAATTTTAAGGGGAAAGTTTTCTTTAAATAAATGAGTGTAATAAAGGATAGGTATGAAATAAACCTTACTGAAACAAGGTAGCAACACTGATTTGGAAGATAGGTCTCTCTGTGCCTTTAAGCCCTCTTATGTAAGCCATTTTTGCCAGGAATGGTGGTGCACACCTATAATCCCAGCATTTGGGAGGCTGAAACAGGAGGATTGCTGAGAGTTCAAGGCCAGTCTGGGCCACATAATGAGTTCAAGGCAGCCTGAACTGCATAGTGAGACCCTGTCTCAAAAAATTTTTTTTTTCATAGTTAGCAGTTATTCTGGGCCTGTCCCACCCTTGGATATATGGACCTGTTGTATTGTTTATCTTAGTTAATGATATTCAGATTGAGAGCATTTGAGGAGCTTTATTTAAGGAAGGAATTATACTAAAGGATGTTCATTTGTACTTAGATCTGATATAGATGATGAGACTCTCCTTTTGCTATAAGGCGATAAGGGGATTTGAGAGAGAGTGAGGGAAAGTATATACTTTCTAAATGAGTAATTGAAAATTTTATATTAAGCAATTATGTTGGTATAGAAATATTTTTAGATTCTTTGATATTCTTTCTTTCAAGCGCCAGGATTTAATTTCCCCAACCTTGAATGTAGGATGGACTTAATAGCTCATTTAAAATGACTGGAATACAGCAAAAGTTGTGGTAAGCAAGGTGTACAGTAAGAAGGTGGGTATAATAAGAGAATAGCTTGTAAATATCAGATATTTTGATGTAGACACAATTAGTGCATCTCTCTGGTTTTTTTTTTTTGTTTGTTTTTGTTTTTTTTTTTTTTGTACAGGGATTGAACTTGGAACTTTGTGCTTGCAAGGCAGGTGATGGCACCACTGAGCTAAATCCCTGGTGGTCCTGATGTAGACACAGTTAAAATTAAAATTAGGAATAGAAAAAAAGGAGAACACAAAGTGCTGTAGAAGAAAGTGAAATGGTAACAAATGATCAAGCAAATAATTAAAATAGCCCAAGAAAGGAAGTTAGGGCAGGAATCAGAAATCTTGCCCCTAGAAAGACAAACATTCCATATTACCAAGGGGTGTTGAGACCATTACATATCAATCATGTTAGTTAATGTATGCGAATTTAAATCACCTATAACAAGATATTTCAAACAGACCCAGTAAACAAAGCAAAGGGTTAATCTCTCTGATGTCCAGACATATGGATAATTGGTTGTATATACCAAACACGCTTTCATGATTGTACTGAATAAAAATCTCAACAGAGAAATAGGAACTTCAAAATAGGTCAGTAGAAATTATAGTTTGAAGAGTAGAGATCAAAAAATGAACAAAATATGAGAGCCTCATGGCACTGTTAGTATCAGAAGATTTAAGAAGATAAGTGAGAAAACATTACTTGAAAAAATAATTTTTAAAAATTACACACATTTTACAAAGAACATATATTTATATATTCACGGTCCCCAGGAACACCAATAGCATAAGAAAGAAGAAAACTATTTCTAGGTATATCATAGTAACATAGTAACATAACATAGCAACATAGGAAAATTAAAGATAATTTAAATACGCCTAGATAAAACACTTTATATGTGTGGAAATAATTTAAAGTATGATGGAGGTTTTTGGAGCTTGTAGAAGAATTAAGAGCACTCAGAAGAAATCTGTTACTTCTGCTACTTTTAATTTGTAGATTCTCCCTTCCTGTAGAATGAGTTACACATCTATGTGTGTATATCCAAATCTTTTCATCCTGACTGTATATTCCCTCCACGTACCCAGCCCAGTTTTCTTAAATTAAGAATTTTGTTATTTTCCTACCACTGAGCATATATTGTTCTCTCCATGGCTGCATTGGTTTTGAAGTTCCTCTTACTGCATATCAGTCAGCTTTCGGATCTTGTTTTGTGAGCTGTATTCAGGATTCATAAACCAAATACTTGTTAATTTTCTGCTACATACCAGGCCTGAATTTCAGCCTTATGTGTTCATCAGTGAGCAAAACTTTTTTTTTTTTTTCTTTAGTTTTTTGAGACAGGGTCAGAAACCAAATTCTTGTCTTCATCACATTGTGTTTTTAACAAAGACAGACTCTCAAATTAGGGTAGATGCTGACAAAAGGAATGGGGTGTTTGAAGGCTCAGCTGTACACAAAGAACCAAAGGCAAATCTGTCTTCTGTGAGGAACTCTGTAGGATTAAAAAGAGCTTCGTCAGCTCCTACAGTCATGTGTAAGTTGTGAGGTTTTGTACACGGGTCGATGAAGGAAAAGACCCTATGAAGGTTAAAAACAAGAAACCAAAGCTCCAAACATAAAGGGGATTTGTACCTTCCCATTCACATGGGTGCTTTGGGGCCTTCTGGACAAAGAACATCTGACAGCTCTTGGAACTCACCTCTGAGGACTCAGAGTTAGGTTATCCTGTTACAAATTTGTTGTTTTGTTGTTAAAAACATATGCCAAGCCCTAAGCAGAGATCTGTATGCTGTATTGCAAATTCAAGCTAACACATGCATGTTTTTTTATACTGCCTGGAGGTTGTGGGTTTTTTGGTTTTGTTGTTGTTTTTTTGAGGCAGGATCTCATTATATAGTTCAGGCTGGGCTTGAACTCACTGTGTAGTCCAGGCTGGCCTCGAACTTGCAGTGATCCTCTGGCATCAGCAGCCTCTTGAGTGCTGGAATTACAGGTGTGTACCACTACACCTGGATTATTTGATTTTTTTTTTTTTTTGGTTTTTTGAGACAGGGTCTCACTATGTAGTTGAGACTGATCTGGCGCTCACTATGTAGCCCAGGCTGGTCTCGAACTCACAGCAATCCTCCTGCCTCAGCCTCCTGAGTGCTGGGATTACAGGCATGCGCCTCCATGCCCAGCTTATTTGATCTTTTTAGATGATTAAGAATTTGTGTAAAGGAATAGTACAGATCTTGGTAAATAATATTTACATATGGAAATACTTTTTATTTCTATCACGGTGCAGTGTGTAAGATGGCTTCAGACATTATTATAGTAACAGAACACAGTTGAAACTATTGAGTGTTTTTAAGTAATAACAGATAACCTGGTAAAGACAGCTCTTTAACAAACCCAGCTTGGAGGGGGTGGATAATCACAATGATGTAATGGAAATTATTCATTGAAAGTTTTTTTGTACCATCAAATATAACTTTTAACAAATGAACAAATTAATTAAGCATGCATTTTAAATACTAAATTTTGGTTTTCCCTAGCAGTTATTAGCATGTGTTGTAATATTTACTTGTACCCAATTTTGAGAAAATGGTATATTAAGTATTTCTTTACAATTGTCAATCTTTTTTTAGATTTTTAGAAATAATTTTTAAACTTGATAATTTGTATTAAGATTCTAGTTAAAGTTTAGTAAATTGAATGAATCAGAACTGACTTATTCATATTGAGTCACATTTGTTTTAAATTTCTTTGTGTGTGTGTGTGTGTGTGTGTGTGTGTGTCTATGTGTTGAGAAATTCAGCATTTAAAAGTGATGGATTATATAAATCCATTTTGTTTAATTCCATAAGTGAAACATAATGAACAGTGAACTCTTCATTGATATGATTCATTCATAAGGTTACGTATTTAAAATGAAGGAAAATGAAACTTTATTAAGAGAAAAACATTTTTGATGTGATAGCTTTTCTTCAGTAACATTTTCTAATCATCTGTCTTGCTCATATAAAATATTTACTTGCTTATATTTTTGACTTTAAGAGACAGATAATCCCTACCTTAAATAATATAAGAAATGTTTTTCTTTTAAATCTAGATGATTTAACTTATTTATGATTCAAGGATTCATAGAATTTTATTTTCACTTGTTTTTCTTTTTTTTCCCCTCCAATTTTAGGATTCTTGTCGTAGTGTTACAGGAGAAAATCGCTGCCTTTGATAGCTGTACTTTTGCAAGAAAATTTTTTGTTACAAGTATGTATCAAATTTTTTAAGCTGTCATATGTTTTTGAGTTTATACTAGTTGATACAAACTAGTTATGTCATTCGGTATTTCATTTGAATTGTGATGTTCTTCCTTTGATTTTTGTGTATGTTCTTGTTCAGTAATTGTATGATATGCAATTTTACCTTGCCAGTGTATTCTTATTATACATATTCTATATTGCCTCAGTTTTCTCACATACTCTCCTTGTATAATTACAATTAATTTCGTATATCATTATCATTACTTTTTACTTCTATTACTTGAATTTTATTTTATTTTATTATTTTTTCATTAAGTTTATTGGTATGTTTTAGGTATACAATATGATGACATTCATTATTGGGAATTTGTACCTTTACATGATAATATCTTGGTTATTTTTTCCCCATTCCCCTGCCCTTCCTTCAACCCCTCCACCACACCTCCCATTTACAAAGACTTTGTTTCCGTTTTTCCTTTTCTCTTATTTTTTCTTTCCCTTCTTTCCTTTCCCTTACTCCTCCCTCTTCCTCTTCCCCTTTAGACCTTTTCTTCCTTTTCACATTATGTGTTTATATCTATTATTTTTTGAAAGCACTTTTTACACTATTTATTTACATCCCATACTTGAGTAAGTAACTGGATTATCCTATTTGAGGGTTTTGAAATGCCAAGAAATATTTCCCATCTTTTTCTTCCTCTCTTTGCTCCCCTGTAATAAATTTTGCTGCACCCAAATTCAAAGCTAAGCATAGCATCTAGTCCCAAATTATATACTCAAGCACACAGAATTAATATATTTGACATGGTATGAAATTACATGTATGAAATTGTATCTAGAAGGGAAGGAGAAGCTAGGAGGGGGAGAAAAAGGGAGAGTGAAATGGGTGGACCTTGACACCATACTCTTAAGTGAGATAAATCGGACACACGTTTAAATACTGCACTGTTTCTCAGGTGTGAGAAACAGTGTGGAAATAAGGACTGAGCTGTGTAATGGATGTTGGGAAATGGGAAGAAAGCGTTGACATGGGAAGGGAACAATAGGGGAGGGAGGGAGAAAGGAAGGAAGGGACAAGAAAAAAAGTGAAGATAGAAGGAAACAATGGAAACAAAGCTTTTGTACATAGGGAGGGAAGGGGGCTTGAGGGGAGGGATGGGATAAAATAAAATTAAATGAAAAAAAAAAGAAAAAGGGAGAGAGAACCCAAATGACTTTTTAGATATGTATTTGCTTATGGAGTTGTTGGTTTGCAAGTGGTACATCATATCAGACAGGTTTGCAGGTTGAAACTTCTGCGGGAATTAGCAGGACTACTCTGTAGTCTGAAGGCAGTCTCGGCACAGAATTTTGTTTAATCTTTTTTTTTTTTTTTTTTTTGTAGTCCACATTTTCTATTTTGCATTCTTTTTCATCTTTTGCAACTGACCATGGAAGCTTTAGTTGAGTTTTCCCAGAGATTCTGATATGTACATTCTGAAGAAATAATTTAATCGATCTCAATTTTGAAATGAGCAGGGAATCTCAGTTGGCATTTGTTGGAGCTCCTGAAGTAACGTATCTTCTGACACAGATATTTATAGAGTATCTGTGATGTTTTAAGCACCAGGCAGTAGCCACTTTTTATGTATAAAGTTCTTTGATACAATTACTACAGTACGTATTAGATATAATTATATACACCAGGTTTCATTATAGTACATTACTTAACATTTTGTAGACCATTGAGAAAAATAAGACAAGCACATGCCTTTATATTTATAATTTTTCTTCTGAGACATAGTTATTATACATTAATGTATTTGTTACATTTCTAATTAAATAATTACGAAGATAGAACCATATAATGGTTCTGTTTATTCTAGTTAGATAGGTTATAGAGAGTCAGTCAGAACAATGGACAGATATTTCAGCCAGATCCAGGTGCCAGATTTTTCCTGAGTTGCTTTCATCTCACTTTATCAATAGTTTTATGGTATTTATCAGAAATACTTGTTTCATGTCTTCTGCACCTCCATTATGACTCAATTTTAATTGTATACTTATAATCTGTGTTTCATGATAGTGGATTTTACTTTCAGGTCAGGGGCATGGAACTATCTTTTGGTTTTGTTTTTAGTTTTTTAGTTTTTAGTTTTTAAAATGAAGATATTATGCTGCCTCACTTGAGTGATAAAGTTCAGAAAAAATCCAAAATAATTGTTTGTTAAAGTACTTTAATTAATTGGCAAAGTACATTTTGAAATTTTAGCTGTTTAAATATTAGGCTCTGTTGGAATGCTTGTGTTTCTTTTTAATAAATATAAAGTCAACTGAAGTAACAAATAAGTTAGTGATGGCAGCATTTATCTTTTAGGGCATATTTATATTGTAGGTTTGTGGTGGATATAAAATTATGTATTTCCAAAAATTCTTGTAATATTCAGTTTCAAAATTTAAAAGACAACATTAGCTTTATTATGAATAAAAATTTGAAAAGGAGCCAATTTTTATAAGTCTTAAATTGGATTTGAAAGGTGTCTAATAATTTTGGTACATTGGGATTGAAAGTTCCTTTTCATCATTCTCTTGTTTATTGATGAAAATGGACACAATTTGATTGCCTTAATAACACTTTGGATGAAATGTAGATATAGCAGAAAACATTATGTTATTCTGTGTACGAGTGACATTTGTTTCTACTGATAGTATCATTAGCATTTTCATCTTAATTCTTTATCTTCTTTCTCTTTTTCTTAATGCCTTTTTGAGTCATCTTTGGTTTACCTTCCCTACTAAATAGTTTAAATAAGTATTAGTCTCATAATTCCATAAGTTCTTCATGATTGGAAGAAAAGATCTGGAAGTCTCAACAGTGTTTTTGGTAGTGCACTCAAGCATTTTACAAGTGGCATGGAGCTTCTAACTAAGTCCTAGTCATGTGGTTTGTTGTCTACAATAATGAATTTTTCGTATTTCCTTATTCACGAGGAGTCTCATTCTCTTAGGGTGCTGTTTGTATAATGACTCTCTTGGATTGAAATACCTTGTAATTTCTTATCTTATGTGGTTTGCATAATAAAAACTGAAGTGTATATTACACAAGGTAATACGTTATATAAAAAGGAGTTCAGAAAACAGCAACAACAAGTTTATGACTTCTCTTCCTACTCTGAATAGTACTTATTGTAACATTTCACTTCAGCCCTACCTAACTTCGTTATAAATACCCTTAGCAATAGTAGTAATAGTTTTCATTTCACAGTTCCATTGAGTATGTCATTCTTCTTTTCAAATAATTCTGCAGAACTTGAAAACTGTAGGGATCAGATTTATCCATATGCTTTTAGGTTACTCAGACCAATGATATCCCCAATTCTTTCAGCCAGTCTGAAACTACATATAGTTTATACACATTTTTCTATGTTTAGGTACCTGTTATCACATAAGTGTTAGCCAGTTTTACCTGTTAGTCACATGCAGGGATTCAGGACAGACATCTGGGTGGGTGGGGGGCTGGGTATGCTGAGACAGCTTTTGTGGTAGCTCACTTGCCTCTACCACATAGCTTTTCTCCTAGTGATCGGTACTAAGTTCGTATCCCATGTAGAATGAAAAGATCTTCACTTAATGAGGATGTTGTTTTGATCGTGCAAGCATTTAACTTCTAAAGTAGTCTGAAAAGCTCTCAGTTGAATACCTTAGTTGTGTGTGAATACAATGAAGGTACTGTAAAATAAGTAGTCAGCTGTGTCCATCAGAGCAAGCATCATGGGAATTTGTGCCAAAGGGTGGATGGAACAGGTAGAGAGCTGATGGAGAACTGTTAACAGAACGCATCCACTATGATGAGAAATGAGACACCTTTGTATTTGGCCGTACAGAGAAGTTGGCTTTGAGCAGCTGTCTGATGTGGAAATCCAAAACCCAGGTATGATTAGGAAAACAAAAGACAAAGACTGATAGATGTCATTAGTAGTCATTTTAAGTGTCTTTAAATTGAAAGGTAGATATGAAGTCTCCAGGGAAACCAAATAGTGTTCAGTAAGCAGTCTCTTTCCTTTGGTCTCTGGTTTTACTTTGAGTAAGAAAAAATATTTCTTACATTCTTAATGGTATTAGTGTATGTGTTCTTCTTTTGTGATGGTGAATAACCAATGTATCAAACAAATGAATTTGAAAGAGCTTTCAAATGCAAAGTTTTTTTCTTTTTAAATTTTGCAACGAGGAACTTTGTTTTCTATGCTAAGAATCCCACATTCACAAATAGACACTGGTAAGTACACATAAGACCTAAGGCCTGTACGAGTTAAAAGTTAAGACTTAACCCTAAACGTTTGGGTTCTGCCTCAGATGAATGAGGCTTCTGTGATATTTTGGGGGACTGGGCATGTAGTTGATGCTTAGTGGATACCCACTGTATATGGGTGGAGTGAACTACATTTGACTTTTCCTTTCTTTACATGTAATTCTCACCTGTTGAGCGTTAGAGTGGCAGTACTCCATAATTCCTGTGTTTCATATACACGAAAAATAAAAATAAAATAAGTTATCTCAAAGCTCATAAAACCTAAAAAGGTCACTAATCTGCTGTATGATGGTTAAGAAATACTTAGTGATAGTTAGCATTTCCTGTGTTTTTCTGTGGAATTCATTCATAGCATAGATGTCATACATGACTGATGCCTTTCATTAATCATAGATATGATTAGCATTCATCCATTTCATGGCCTCTTTCAGTTCTTCATTTTTTTTAAAAAAATAACTTTAGATTATATGGATTTACTACATTTTATGTATTCATCCTTTCACAGATACTTGTTTTGTTTATACTTTTAGACTATTATGGGTAGTGTTTATGTGAACACTAGTACACAGGTTTTTATGCAGAACTTGAACATTTGTTTGCAGATTTTTGTAATTATTGTGTTTCCCCGATAGTTCATGACACTGAGCAATGTGATTTGTATATATACCTTATTTGTCTTTTCAATATTGAGTTTTAATGGTTCTTTTTATATTCTAAAGCAGAGTCACTCATCAGATATATGGTTTTGCAGACATTTCACACAACTCTGTAGTTTGTCCTTTCATTTCATGTCATTTTATTTGTATCCTTTGGAGTATAAATTTTTTAGGTTTTTATTTTAAATTAATTTATCTACTTCTTGCTTTTGATACAAGTTCTTAGTATGTGGTTCCAGGCCAACTTTATACTCATTGCCTAAGTCAGGCTAGCCTTGAACTTGCAGTCCCCTTGCCTCAATCTCCAAACTACTAGGATTTCAGGTGTGAACCACCTTACCCAGCTTTCAAATTTTTTAATGTTTGTAAAGTCCACCTTAATGTTTTATTTTGTCACTTGTACTTTTGATGTCATAAACAACTGTTGCTTAATCCAAGGACATGAAAATTTACTGTGTTTTTTTTTCTAACAGTTTAGTTAGTTTAGCTTTTCATTTGAAGTCTTTGAAACATTTCAGGTTAATTTTTTTTAACCTGATGTGAGGTAGGGGTCCAAATTCTTTTCCAAGTAGATATCCGCTTGTTCTATTATTTGTAGAATTGAATATTTTTATACTATTCACATGTTTTGGTTCCTTGGTCAAAGATTAATTGTCCATAAGTATAGGTACCCACTTTTAAAAAATATCTCAAATTTGTCTTTACAAGGAAAAATGAGGCAGTGTCTCAGAACGTTTTTGGAAATGAGTTTAAATTATCTTTCCATTATGACCCAGATTCTGGAAGGAAGCCATTCAAAATTCTGTACTACAGTTCTTGAGGTCTTCTGAGTTTCTAAAAATATAGACTCAAATAGTGAAATTAAACATTATAAACTGTGTTTTCTCTTATATACTTAATAGCCTCTAATAGTGGTTGAGGTAGTTATCAGAATTAATTGAGAGATTATATTGACAGTTAAAGTTAATTCACGAAATTAGAAACATACCTGTACTGTGATAGTACCATTCATAGGAATTTGGTTCCGTTCTTTCTCACAGATTTTAAATAGGAAAATCTTTTTTGTAGACCATATTAACATTCATTTCCCCACTTCTGAATATTATTATTTTATTCAATAGGAGTCTATTATGTAAGTATTGCACAATATGTATTAGTGTATATTAGGATGTGTTCTTCATATACATATAGGACTGTTTGTCAATTTTTTCTCATGTTTATAAAATTTTTTATTAGTACATGATTGCAATAATTATTACTTTCATTGTGGAGTACATAACATGTCATGAATATGTTTTGAGTCATTTCAGTGTGTTGTCTAACTTATTCAAATGTATTTATTTATTTTTATTTTTTGGTTTTTTGAAACAGGGTCTCACTTTGTAGTGTAGGCTGGATTTGACCTCACTATATGTAGCTTAGGCTGGCTTCTAACTCATGGAAATCCTCCTGCCTCAGCTTCCTGAGTTTGGGGATTATAGGCATGTTCCACTGGTTTAAACATATCATTGAGTGCTATGTTTCAGACATTGTTCAAGATAGTGCAGATTTAGCAGTGAACAAAAGGACACAGTTCCTTGAGTTTATATATCCCTTTGGTTAAGTTGCATAGGGATTGAAAATGAATTACATATGATAGAGCAATCAAATGTTATTGGCTGACACTCGAAAGAAGACTGCCTTTGAGTGCTGAATGTAAATACGCAGTGTTCTGTAGTTCCTCAGGATCTTTTATTGAGACCCCCTTTGAGGATTGCTTGTTTTCATTCACACACACCTTTGTAATGTTCTTTTTTTCCCACCAGCGTAGTGTTGTTATTTCCTTTTAGGTGTATCATTGATAGTCTTATTTATCTTTTCTCCTTAACTTCCTAAGCCTCTTTTATATTCTTTCTTTTGCCTCTTTTAAAATTCTTGTTTTATTTATGCTCTTTAGGTTATGAACTTAAAGTGGTCCTATTAACTTCATTCTCTTTTTCAGGAGTAGCAGTATGAGATGGCTGGTTATTGTAAAACATGGTTCCTGGTTCTTTCCAGATTTATTTCATTCACAAAGCAGAGTAAATACTGAAAAGAAACTAAGGAGAAGAAAAGAACTGTACCTCATTTGGCTATTAAAATAATGACTAGTAGTATAGGAATTTCACATGAGAATTGGAAAAATAATAAACATTTGGCTTTTCTGGTTTTTTTGACATCAACATTTGATGCATGCAAGAACAAAAAATTAGTAAGGAATTTCTCAATACTACTGTTTGAAATTTCCAGGTTGTTATCCTTGTCCTGGGCCAAACATGAATCCTATTGCTCTTGGAAGCCGTTGGCTTGCTTATGCAGAAAATAAGGTAAGATGTAGTCCATATTGGGTTATTTGTAATGGAGCAAGTGTTTAAGGATTTTCCATAGGATAAATGTTTATTCTATTGGTGATTACTGATAATGAATGTTTACCTTACTAGTTTGCTTTGGTTTTCATTGTACAATCAATATTTGGACTCTTAAGAATTTGTAAATATTTGATAGTTGTCCTTAAACCAAGCAAGACTCAGTGGAACCTAAATTTTTTAATTGGCTTTCTTCTATATAAAGAACTTTACTACGGTAATATTAAAGTACAATACTGAGATTAGCAGCACTGAAATAGCAGCAGCAATTTCTGTGTAGATAGAAGTCAGGAGATAGGAGTAACTTGTAGCTTCATTGACAGATTGGAAACCTGGGCCATGAAACTATTTCTTTGGCTGTGTATGCCAACAGACAGATCTACAAAAGAGTGCAGCTATTTGTTTTAATAATTAAGTAACACATCTTCACTTTCTTTTTCATATTTTCCAGTTATTTATCAAATTGAGATTCCAAGATTTTTATAGTAAATGACAAATAATATTGTTTACATACTAAGAGATTACTTATGCACATTTCAATGCAAAGCATAAATTTAAATTTTATATAAGAAAACATAAAGTAATTTTTATGTCAGTTAGCATTCTCTATGAATGTAGAATAAAAATCTAAAAAGAACTGAGGCATAATCTCAAATCCAAGCCTACTCTGAGCAACTTAACAGGATCTGATTGTGAAATAAATTGGCTGGGGATACAGCCCAGTGCAGACACCCTGGGTTCAATCCACAGTACCTCAAAAAGGCAGACGGAGAAAGAAGATAGAAAAAAAAAATTGTGCAAACTTCAAAGATGGTTAATGATTTTGTGTGATTTTTTACTGGTCACAAGTTTATTGTATGTTTAGGTTATTATAAAATAATATGAAATAATTTTTGACAAAATCTGTATGTGGTAAGTTAAGTATTTTGTGAAGCCATAGAACTAGTAAGTTTCTAGTCTATCAAATGTACAAAATCAAGAAATGACTAAAGAAAGTCATTTTTCTAGGTGAATTCTTTAATGCCTTATCTAAAAATCTGTCTGCAACAATTATGACATTTTATATTTTACTGAGTATTCTATTTATGTTCCATCTTCTTTGGTCTCTTGATTTTTCTAGTATTTCTCATAAGAATAGCTCCTTTGTAATTACTCTTTTCAAACAAGAAAAGCTCTTGTGGAAGATATACAATGGTATCTTCTTATGTTTATATCTGTAGTGTATTTCCTTTGAGTGCTGGAAATATTCAAGAAGGAAATGTGTAAATTGTCCCTTGTCTTTTGTAGACATATTTTCATGTGAGGGACTGCCCATTTTGTATCACATATTGTTTTTGAGGGACAAGAACTCCATAAATACATAACCTGGATATGTGTTAGTTGCCTCTGCACATACACATGTAATATCTGTTCACACACAGACAGCAGGCATTGTAGTGGCATTCAGAGGAATTTGCCAATCAAATGGTTGTACCATCATGTAGGAAGACCCCACCCATCCCATGTGCAATGGGGTCTTGCTGTGCTGTCTAGGCTGGCCTTGAACTAGTGATTCTTCCGTCTTAGTTGCCTGAGCAGCTGGGATTGCAGACATCTCTGAAATAAAGGTCATTATTTAATATTTTCATAAGAACTATTATTTAATACCAGTTTCTGATTTTCTCTGAGGTTTCAGACCTGCTGTGTGATTGCTAAATTGAATTAAATTTTAGAGTAAGTCTTTTTCAGTGAAAATGTTGTTTGATTATAAAATATTTTATCTATGTATCCATTTATTTTTCTTTGACTATAAAATCTTAAGAAGCCATATATCTTGATGTAGTTTATTTTTTAGTTTGTTTTTGTTTTTTGTTTTTGTACCAGGGATTGAACTTGAGTCCTTGCACTTGCAAGGCAGGCCACTGAACCACTGAGCTAAATCCCCGGTCCTTTTTAAATAATTTTTTATACTGCACTTTTATGTTGGAAAAGGTAAAAATAGCATAAAGCACACCTGTGTGTCCTTCAAACAGTTTATCCTCTGAATCCTTTCAGAATAAGTTTGTATATGTACTGATCAGCTTTTTTTTCCTCCCCTTTCCTCTGTTCTTTTTTTGGTTCCTCAAGACAGAGTCTTGCTCTTTAGTTCAGTCTGGCCTTGAACTCACTATTTCATTTCCCTGAAAATAAGACCAGGTCTTATATTAATTTTTGCTCAAAAAGATGCAGTGGGGCTTATTTTCAGGGGATACCTTACTTTTTTCACGTACAACAATCTACATTTATTCATGTACAAAACTGTGCATTTATTCAGATGCAGTCAAGTCATCTTCTTTTGGGACAACATCATAACTCTCCAAATCATGAATTCTGACTTGAATTTCTTGCCACTTTACTTTCTGTAAAACCATTGGCCACAGTCTTGCATGTCCAGCAATAGAGCCCTCTTAAACTAGCGCTTGTCCATGTAGCCTGCTTGTAAGTACATTGGCAACACAGCTGTCAGTAATGTTATCTTATGAATTCTTCGTCCAAGTCATGACCTCTTGCAGGCTGGACTTCACAAAATTTCCATGAAATAAAATATTAACTGTAGACATACCAAACAGAAGTGGCAACAGAAATAATGACAGTTAAGAAAGATGGTCCATGCCGGGTATGGAGGCGCATGACGGTAATCCCATCACTCAGGAGGCTGAGGCAGGAGGATCACTGTGAGTTTGAGACCATCCTGGCCTACATAGCGAGTTCCACACAAAAGCAAGAAAAATTGCAGGCACCAAAATTCAGAAACATCTTTTTATTCCACACAAGTGCGTTAAGTATGCCCATTATAGCACATGATGTATTGAATTATGAAAATTCATATTAGACACAACCACGTGAGTTCATTATCAACTATGTAAGTTATTCATGTGCTGTGTCTACTCCTGTTGGTTATTCAGCAAGCTTATTGGTTTACATAAACATATACCTCTCGTCTAAGGGCACCACTGAATATTTATTTTATTTTTTATTTTTTTGGTTTTTTGAGACAGGGTCTCACTATGTAGTTGATACTGACCTTGAACTCACTATGTAGCCCAGGCTAGTCTTGAACTCACAGCGATCCTCCTGCTTCAGCCTCCTGAGTGCTGGGATTACAGGCATGGTCACCATGCCTGGCTTTGAATATTTAATTATAATTAATAATTTAAGCATCAATGTCAATAATATTATTACATTTAATTATATATTAATATTATTATTTTGTAATTCAATATGTCTGTGTGTGTTGTGATGGTTGTACCAAATGCATCTGTCTGGCTAATGATTTTAACTGGGACTTATATTTAGAATGTGGCTTATCTTATGAGCATCCTGAAAAATCATGCTAGGGCTTATTTTCCAGTTAGGTCTTATTTTGGGAGAAATACAGTATGTGGTCCAAGCTGGTCTCAAACTCAGAGGAATCCTTCTGCCTCAGCCTTCCAAGTGCTTTGATTAAAGGCCTGTGCCACCATATCTGGTTTAAAACTTAGTTTTTCTTGTTTGTTTCATGGTGTTGGTAATTGAACCCAGGATGTTATGTATGCTAAGCAAGGGCTTTACATTTGAACTACTATACTCCTTGACATGATCAACCAATTTAATATCATTGAAATACTTTATTATCCATATTCCAGTTATGTCAGTTAACCCTGTAGTATCTTTTTTTTCTCTCTATAGCACAGCTTTGATCCCATCTAGGGCAAGGTATCAGGTTTTTTAGAACAGCCTTTTAATCTTTCAAAATTACATAATATTCCCCAATCTTACTTTTAACATCATTGCTATTTTGGAAGAATAGGACTTCCCAGTACCGTCCTAAGACTTGCTTTGTTGTTCTTTTGTTTTTGAGGAGGGGTCTCACTGTGTAACTCAGGCTGGGTTTCAGGTTCCTGGCCTTAAGTGATCACCCCCACCATCCTCCCAAACGCTGGAGCTACATGTGTGCACCACTGTGCTTTGCCAAGTTTTTTTTTTTTTAATAGAATGCTTTTTATTTTGGGTTTTCCTAACAAAGGGAACATCACCAAAAAAGCTGTGTATAATTACTAGTACTGAACGTTATGCATGTAGCTTTGGAGCTAGAAATACATAACCTAAATACAAAGAAGTGACCATATCTGAAGCATTCAGAATAATCACCATTTTAAAAAAGCTTAAAATAATGATTATTCAGACCACAATTGAACTAGAATGTGACAAAATCATAAATTATTTGGGGTTTCAAATTGTCCCAGAGTTGGCCATTGAAACACTTTTCTGGCTGGTTTCTGTGACCTTGTGGCACATTCTCATTTAAAACAGTCCAAACAATGGACAAACTATTTCCTTACTTGCTGGCATAGGCCCTACCTACACTCATCTTATATTTACCTTGTATCAGCCTTGAATCTGTTACTTCTGGCTCTGCAGGCCCCCCCCACATTTTTTGAGCGTTTGTATCGTGCATGCTGGCCTTGAACTTAACCATGTAGCCCAGGCTGGCTTATAACTCAGCAGTCCTCCTGCCTCAGCATCTCAAATGCTGGGATTATAAGTGTGTGCCGACACGCCATACTCTGCTGACTCCTTTTAATCAATCAGCTGTGTTGTTTACAGGGTAAGCTTTGTCTGGTAAGAGGGCTCAAGTCTTTGTTGTTAGCTGTTTTCAGTGGACAGTGCTAGAAAATAAATAGGACGTGCATACCAAGACAAATGGGAAAGTACACATGCACACATACTTGTGTACCTATACATGTACACACATGTGTGTTTTAGAAATCATGAATTCACATCAGTGCTTCCAAAAGGTACTTTCTTGTCTTCCCCGTTTCGTATTCATGTCTCTTGCGTAGTGATGTCCTGACATCAGCACATCTATTAATATAAGAAGCAGTTGCAGAATTGCTTATCCGTACTGCTCCGAAAGTCGAACACAACGAAGAGGTCAGTCATGCTCTCAGTTGTACTGCTGTCATTGCCACGAGAGACTGAAGCTGTGCTGTCGAGTCCTACCAGTGCAGGCTGTTTTCTTTAGTTGTCCTTCATCCTTCTCTTCCTTCATTTTGGAATTGTGTATGTTTCTTCTAATATTTATATTCCATTTATGGTTGTATAATTTAGTATATTTTATGTGTCCCTTTACATTTCCCTTTTCTAGGAGAGGTCATATAGTAATAGCATGCATGCTCTTTGGTATATTACTTTTTTGTTAACAGTTCCTTCAAATTGACATAGTTTTACACATCTTTAATTTTATTAAGCCAAGATATAATTAATTTCCATATCAGTCTGTGTTTTAGAGACCCAAATTTTAATGTAGAAATGTTGACTCAGTTGTGGTCAAATTGAAAAAGTAAGCGTTTCTACACATTTGTGAATATTTTAATTACCTCAAGCAGGCAGTAGCTTTTCCAAAATACCGTCTTTCTTTGCTTGTGCAGCAGGAGGCAGCAGAGGGATAATTATCAAATTCTCTGAATGTGTATTTGTGGGTGAATAAATGAGATTCTTTTTATTAGCTACACACATCACTTTTCAAATTCCTTATTTTACTCTATATGAAACCACAGTGACTAATCACCTTGATTATTCAGTGTGATATAGCAAGGACTGCCTAAAAAATAGCTTGGTGTCACTTACCAGGTTTTAATTTTTAATGTTTAATTTTAATTTTTGGTACCCAGGGATCGAACTTGGGTCCTTGCGCTTGTGAGGCAGGTGGCAGAACCACTGAGCTACATCTCCGGCCCTTTACCAGATTTTAAAAAGCCTTCCTTTCTAGTTTATTAATATTGTATTGTAGGATTTTAAAAAAACATTGTGAGTGATCAAAAATTTTTGAATTAAAAACAAGAGGTACATCAAATGACCTAGTTTTAGGTTATGTAAAGTGCTTTTATAAATAAATTTTGTTGTGAACTCCTGAGGTTTTAAGAATTAATATTTTTAAATTTAAAAACAATTTTAAATATACAAATGTGAATAATGGTGTGACGAGTGTAGAATCAGTGAAGAATTTAATCTATTTTATTGCTTAGTATCTGAGAATATCTGAGAGGATCAAGATATCGGAGTATTGATTTACTTTGAAAATTGGCCAGTTGATTTGTTTACATCAGATATGAATAAGGATATGTCTTTAGTTTCTTTTTCTTTTTAAAATTTTTCTTTAGAGAATCAAACCCAAGGCATCACACATGCTGGCAAGTGCCCTGCCCCTGACTGCAACCCCCACCTCCCTACTTTTTTATGGTCCTGGGGATTGAACCCAGGGCTGTCACTCTAAACTACATCCCCAGCACTGTTTCAGTCTTTTCCTTTGAGATGGGATCTTGCTGTTTTGCCCAAGCTGAGTTCAAACTGGCTGTCCTCTTGCTTCAGCCCAAGTGCTGGGATGACACAAGTGTACCGGCACACTCCAACCCATGTTTTTATCCCTCATGGCACAAGCAGTAAGCTCTCTGGACAGCTAGTGTATGTGTCATAGTTGATTTATGTGTAATTTGTGCCACTTTTCCACTAACACAATTGAAAATGCAAATACAGCAATTTTTTTTTATGTTTCCTTTTATAATCTTTGTGGAGACATTAGGAGGACAAAACATCCAATTTGCTAGCATGTCAAATATTTAATGTTAGGAAGTCATGTCTAAGTCCTTTGATTATGTTTTTAAAACTTATTTGTAGAACAACTGCCAGATCCTAAATCCTTACCATTTCATAGTTTATGAATTCTTAAAAACTTTTCATCATGTAATTAGAAATGTAGTTGAGCATAAAACTGCCTGAATGGCACCAGTAGATTATGAAAAAGGAGCAGAAGTGTCTCAGTAGGGCTTTGAGCTGTTTATCTGAAAGACACTTATGCAGATATTCCCATCCATGGCCATCGTGCATGGTAAATAAGCTCCATCTAAAAGCCTGAAGGGTTAAACAGCTGAATAGAAAATGATTTTCTGGTTCCCTCTCTCTTCTTCCCCTAGCTGATTCGATGCCATCAGTCCCGTGGTGGAGCCTGTGGAGACAACATTCAGTCCTACACTGCCACAGTCATTAGTGCTGCTAAAGTGAGTACTTCAGTAGTCTCTGGGAGTTGTGCTCATGTCATATTGAAATTTCCTTTCTTGAATTGTATTGAAATTTCCTTTTCATTTTCACTCATGAATGTAGAATAATCTTTCAGAGGTGAATTTTTTTTTGTCATTCATGAGAATTGGTAATTGATTTGGTAGTTAATCTTTTAGGATTAATAAATTTTCTACTGTAATGATTGCAGAGTTAGTACTTAAGTCTCTTAATTGGATTAAAGCGGGGGAACGGATTAATGTGACATTTGAAAGAAGCTTCACATGTTCCAACTAGCAACTTCTGGATTTTTTTTTTCCTGTAGTTTGTATCATTCTACCTTCGCTGACATCCTGCACATCTTTGAACATTTTTTAAACTTCTTGACATTAAAAATAAAACTATCATTCTTTACAAAAAGTTGAGTCAATCCCCTGGCACATTCAAAGATTCTTTCATATCAAGGGGCTTCCCCCTTCATGTTTGGCAAGGGAGTTCTTTTTTGTGTCTGAGGGTTCATTTTGATGAAGTCTGGTAAACTTTATGCTGATTGTAAGGTATTCTTATAACCACTATCCTTTTGAATTGTGAAGTATACAACAAAACAATTCTAATAATAGGGATGACAGAGTGAATCTAAATGACAGCATGTAATCGAAAGCACAACTATTCAGAAAAAGAACAGCAGTTTAAAGTAAACCACAGAGAGAGAATCAAAGGTCACACTTTTTTATGTAAAACAAACACAAAAATACTTCAGGATTGATCGCAAATGCTTACATGATGTGCTTTAGAATGTGTTCCTGGTTTGATGAGAGAAGAATTACACACTTTTCATTCAGAAGGGAAATAATATCTTTACCCTTATAAAACTATATATTTTAGAAACCTTTGTAAGCATGTTTGCTCTTCTCCATTGTATATGCAAAAATAAGGATGATTATTTCAGCAGAGAGTAATTAGGTAGAATTTTCAGTCATATTGTGTTACTTTATCTATAACTTTTAGCAATGAGTTTTTTTCAGGCCAGGGATTTAGCTCAGTTGTTCTGCCGCCTGCCTCACAAACACAAGGTCCTGAGTTCAATCCCTGGTACCCAAAAACAAACAATGAATTTTTTCCTCATATGTTAGACTCCTTTTAGACTTATTTGTCTCACATATCTGAGTCAGAATAGCTCATAATATTAACATTTTTGAATAATTTTCACTTACGTACTGAAGGATAACTTTTTGGTTCTTGTTTGGTATTGTTATATGTTTGTTATACTTACATAAAAGGAAAGTGATCAGCTTCATTCAATAAGTATTTCACTGTGGAAATGTTGGAAACAAGGCTAAAATTAATATGACTTTAAAATAACAAGTCTGAACTCCCTTTGTTCTCACACCTCACTATTGGGAACTGTGAGATATATGCTGAAGTCTTCTACATTTAGACTCTAAGAAATTATTTTAATGCAACACCTTAATCTAATCATGTTCCCCAAGATCATCAAATGGGTGGTTATAATTCATTATTAGGTTTGGCAATATAGAAAATCTTGAATTTGCTTTTGAATAAAAATAAATAAAATTATTATTTTTTTTTTAACTTGGGAGTGAACCCAGGGCCTTCACACTGAACTATATCCCTGGGCCTTTAAAGGTTTATGTGTTTGTTATTTTCTTGTTCATTGTACTGAGGATTAAACTCAGGACCTTCACACTGAGTGGCATTGCTATCCCATTTTTTACCTTTTGAGATAGGATCTCACTGAGTCACTAAGTTGCCCAAGGTAAGACTTGAAATTGTGATGTGCCTGCCTCAGTTTCCCAGAGTGTTGGGATTAGAGGTGTGTGCCACCAGACTCAGCTCCCAGTTGCTGACAGTATCTCGCAGTGGAGCCCAGGCTGGTGTTGAACTTCTGCCTTAGACTCTCAGTGTTGAATGACAGGAATGTGCATTACACCTGGCTCCCCCCATTTTAATGTTAATTCATTTTCATGGTTGTAAACCTACAAAATGATGAAAACAGTAGGACTGTGAACATTAAAGCCATTCACTTCTTGATAGCCTGTGTTTGTGTAAGTTTTAGAGACACTTCCAGTCACGTGTTCTACCCTGACCTGGCAAGTTATTATTATATTTATCTTGAATGTCATTAAATATCTTTGAAAACAGTTTTTCATTGATAAATTGGCCTCTTAGGGAATAAAATATTTCTACTTTTGCATGATAACTATATCAAAATTATTTCTTCAATTTTTTGTAATTCTAAATGTATACTTTGTTCTGTTGCTGTTACATTTTGGATTATATTCCACTATTTTAGGGAGTATAAAGTTCATTTTAAAAAATACCCTGAAGGTATCTTTAGACCTACAAACCTTTTGTGGAGAATTTGATCTGAAATTTAAGAATAAACAATGGCAATATGACAGCATTATAGACTGCTTTAGAGAATATGAAGTCAGATTATCCCTAGTCTTATTTTATGATGCCAGATTATCTTGATAATGAAAATTGATGTGTTATAAGAAGAAAACTAAGTTGGTCCTGTCTAACTTATGAATACAGATGTGAAAATTTGTAAAAAATACCAAGAGAAAAAAAATGAAGCAATATATAGGAAATACGACATGTCATAAACCACTTGAGATAATTGCACAATATACGGCTGACTGATCACTCAAAGGGAATGGGTATAATTTGCCACATTGAACAGCACAAAATTATATGATAATCTCAATAGATAAACAAAAAGTGTTGGGAAAAATTTAACATATGTATTCTGGTCCTCTGGGTTTTCATTTTTCTCAAATACTCAAATCTGTCCCATTAAACTGATTGTATTAAAGTCTGTTCCTGATAGCTCCAGTGCCTGTTTTCCTTTTGGATGTGTTTCTGTGGTTCTTCCTGTTGGTTTTTATTTTTGGTGTTTTGCCAGAATTTTGAGTAGCTGTTTCAGTTTGTTATACTTTTGAAGTTCTAACAGTTTTGGCTCATCTTAATTCAGTTTTGGGAACTGAGATTACTCAAGTTATTTAAATGATCTTCACCTGTAGTACCTGTGCTCATTGCGCACTAGAAGAGGTTCAGTCTTGTAATTTCTTTGTCTTTATGTACCAATTTAAAGCGTGGTGGAATTTCACCAGGCAGATCCCCTTCCAAACTGTTGATTCTGGTACAAGACCTGGTTCCAGAAATTGGTTAGAAGCATCACTTAGTCTCTTTGCATCCATCTCTAAAATCAAGAATATCTCCAGGTCTAAATACTCAACTGGAGCATCTGGATTACCCTTGGATTTGATTTTTTTGTCCCCCCTGCAGTACTAGGAATGGGTACACAGGGTAGTGTGGTAACTCTGCACAATCTTTTTCAGAACCTTCAGGCAGCATTTACAAAAACTTGTTTTGAAATAGTTTGATTTACCTAATCTGTAATTATATAAAATACATTTTCTAATTATTTATTGTTTTTATTATATCAGGTGATATGATAGCGTTTGAGATGGGATGTGGACTTCATATTACATTAACGAGTAATCATTACTTTTTTTCCTTCTGATAATAGCTTCCTCTATAGCTTCAAACAAGTTATTTACCTATTTTGTTACATAGAGGGATTAACTATTAATTTTTTGTCTTACTATACAGTTGTGGGGATAAACACATTAATTGCATATGCACTGGGGGCTCCTTAGAAGGAGTAATCTTTTTTTTACATTTTCTGTTTCCAAAAGCACTTAAAATTAATCTTCACACTTTCATATTTTTCTCTTTTGATTTTCATAATAGCTGATTTGACTTTCCTTTCAAAGAGTGTACAAATGATGGATTTTCCATGTTAGAAGTAAAGAAAAAATTTAATGTTGAAATTGTTCAAATGAGATTATTTTGATAGATTTATAAAATCTTGGTCCATATTTTCTAGTTCCTTCATAACTGTGTTCATGCATTTTAATCCCAATATGGTCAATAAATAAAAATGCCCATGTTTTTTCTTGTTATCCTGATAACTTCTTAATGACAACTAACAGTTTTGTGAGAGCAACACCATTAACACTAATGGATCGTGGGGACAACTAACATGGCATAAGGAACTAGTGACCTTTTGGCAAATTTGCTTGTACTGAACAGATTATGTCCCATGCTTATTTGACTTCTAGATCATAATGGATTTTTTCACAATTCTTTTATAGTCTAGTGTTCAACTGTCTTGTAGCTACAGTTTTGTTCTCAGGTTCTCTTGTGAACATCAGTCAGGGACTTAATGAACTTGTGAATTTAGATCCTTCAGATTGTGAGGAAACTCAGTCTCATTTATCATCCCCATTTGTCCAGTTATATTTCTCTTCCTAATCTATGCTTGGCCATCATTATTTTTTGTATATATATTTGAGGAAATATCAGGTATATACATACCTTACGTACTGAAATGAAGTGGGAAGACAAATTATTGTGATGTAATTCAGATTTTTAAATATGGTATGTGAGAACTGTTAAAAATAACTACATGATATAGATTACTTCTGGACACTAGTGGTCACAGATGTTTGGTTCTAATATGGCAGCAAATTTATCCTAAAGCCACTGATTTTTATTAATGCAGAAAACTTTCAACACTCTTCCTATTGCTTCTTTGTATGCCATTGTTAATTATCTATAAGGAATAATACATAATATACAAATGGCAGACTTTTTGTTCTGCTCTTTAAAAATAGCTGTGTTTTATACAGTTATACAGAACATGGACTTCATTTGGCATAGTCATAATACGTGTTTGATGACCTAAATTTTGCACTGTTTTGCTCATTAGTAAGACAGCTATATCAATATTAATAGTCCCCCCCCCAGGTGTCTAAAACTCTTTGTAGTATGAACCTTTGACTGTGAATTATACCACTGTTTTCACCTTTGTGGATCCTTTCCCTTGTTTTCTTATGTGAACTTTTATAGTTACCTTGTGATTTGACTTGGTACATTACTTTCCACTTTTTATGTGCTCCAGTTCTTTTAGTTTTATTTATATTCATTGGTATAATAGGCTCAGGGGCAAATGCAGAGGACATACAGCCAAAGACTTTAAAACTAAAAGGAATTCCTTTGAAAAAGGGATGGCTACTTCTATGGGGGAGCATCTCCATTAGCATTAATGGAGTGCTTACATCAGCTGAGGCATCTCAGAGGTTAATCAGGCTTCCTGGCCGGCTCTTGACATCAATACCCCATGGCGCCTGATTCTCTTGGTCTTTCGGAGGCTTACTTGACAACACTGTCACAGACTGAGTGTAAGTCATTTCATGTGAATTATTGAAATAAACGTTTGGCTGCTAATTGAGGAACCCTAATGTGTTTTATAATCACTGCTGTTTGAGTTTTTAGCACTAAACAAAACCGTTAAAATTGATTTGTGGGTTTTTTCTTGTTTTCTGTCTGCTCTAGGTTATATATTTGCTTGAAATAGCATATGGCTTTCTTGATCATTTTAAGTATTTATTAGGATATATTATTAAGGTTCTGAATTTCTCCTATGTCACTTCGTCCCATAAGACATAAATTTTGTATTCAAGACTGTGAGATCGCCAAATAGATTATAAGGACATTACAGGGCAGTATAGGTTAAGACAGTGGGTAAAAATCAGGTTCTGGAGACAGACAGTAGTTCTGGTTAGAATTCTGGCTGTCATTGCTTACATACTTAAAATATCATTTTGCTTAAATTCCCTGCTTCAATTTTTCATTTTTTTATAAAAACGAGGAATGTTTTATAGTACGAGGTAGTTATAGTAAGATCCTTGAGCAGGTACCTTGAAACATATCTGCAATAAGATATATTACTACCATCTTATTGGAAAATTCTTTTTCAGTACTTGTGTAATTGTTGCCTACAATACATTTTTGCTTTCATAAACGTTTTTCTGTACCATTTATACATTATAATTGGAAATACTGTGTATAAAATACTTCACATTTAAAAATTTAGCTATAGCTATGCCAAAATATACGTGAGAATATTTTCTCCATAATTATTTTAGCAGTCACCTTATTTAAGATTAATATGAAGTATTAATAAAAATTTTTCTCAACCTGAGAATTGAAAAGTGTGCATATATTATTCAGTATTCAATTTCTAATATGCCTTGGTAATGTATGCTTCCTATTCTGGATCGAATAACTAGACTTTTCAAACATTTTTTAAGCTTTCTTCCTTTCTAATGAAGGGCAATCCTGTTACTTTAAAAATATTTTTATTAACAATATGAGGATAATCAGACAGTTGACTTACAAGAAAAACACTTGTTTTACCTATTTGTTTTAGAGAAATAGAATTAAAATGTAATTATGAAAGATCCTAATTTACTTTTAATTGAAATAATATTTTATAGCACTATATTTGATTACTGCTAGTGAATAGAAAAGAAGTCTCCTAGTTAATTTTTTTTTCCCCAGTACTGGGGGTGCAACTCAGGACTTTGTGCTTGTGGGGCAGGTGCTCTGCCATTGAGCTAAATTCCTGGCCTAGCTAATTTTATATATGATACTTAATTTAGTAGTTAGAATCTTGGACATAAGACTGTATTTTCCACATCCCAAATCTAGGTGTATAATATTATAGAACAGCATATTATAAATATATTTAGGAAGCATAGGCTTTTTCTACATAGTCTGCCAGTATCTCCATCCTTTTCATGTTAGAAAACAGATATAAAACTACATATATAACATTTCAAAAGAACAGAATATCACATAATTTCTACTTCTCATTATATCGTGTATTTTAAAAACATTAAAGTGAAGGAATAAAATAAATGCTTTTTATAAAAATATAATTGTTATCCTTTGTGAAGTAGAGATCTTTAATTAGAATCATTTAATTATAGCTTTATTGTCAACATACCATTCCCTTTAATAATACTGATTTTATAACTAAAAGTTAAGATCATGTTAAAAGACCAAATATTTATGACAGCTGCTATAGAAAACATTATAAAGGAATAAAGAATTTACTATAAGATAATTAATAAAATGTACATTTCTATTTAGACTCCATATGTTGATGTGCAGTCATGTACTTTATCTTTCACTGTACAGACATTGAAAAGTGGCTTGACAATGGTTGGGAAAGTGGTGACTCAGCTGACAGGTACGGTGCCCTCAGGTGTGACAGAAGATGATGTTACTGTCCATAGTAACTCTCGGCGGAGTCCTCTGGTCCCAGGCATCATCACAGTTATTGACACTGAAACAGTTGGATTGGGTCAGGTAAGACCTTTGCGCATGAAATTTGTGTTAGCTACAAGTATTAACTAAGATCAAAATCTGCCAGAAAGTATTTGGTGTAGGACAGTGGTGGCGAACCCATGGTACATGTGCCACAGTGGGCTGTTTGCATCATTGAAAGCTCTAAAAGGTTCACCATCACTAGTTTAGGAGATGAATAATTTGGAATTAGAGAAATTGATGCTATTTCAGGTCATATGTTTTTCAAGAAGTAATTAATATCACCTGAAGCCTGTTACTTTAAACAATATGAAGGCATCAAACCTAAATGTACATTTTTAATCTTTATCTAAACACCTCCCCACTTGCTGTGTAGTTCAGGCTGCCCTTGAACTCAGTGATTCTCCTTCCTGAGCCTCCCATGGACATTTTTTCATAACTTTTCTATTTGGTTCATTATACTATTTTTTAATAACACCATGGTATAATCTAATTCCAAAGATCTCTTTTTGCTTGCTTATGTATGTGTTTATTTTCAGTGATAGGGATTATACCAGGGCCTTCTGAATAGACTACATTCCCAGTCCTTTTTAAATTTTTGAAACAGGATCTCAATTGCCCAGGCTGCCTCAGACTTGTGGTCCTCCTGCCTCAGCCTCTCAGAATGCAGGAATTACAGGTCTACACCATCATGTGATGTGAATAGGGTACATTTTTTAAAAAAAATTTTTCTTCTGGGGATCAAACTCAGGACCTTGCACTTGTGAGGCAGGCAGTGGCACCCCTGTGCTAAATCCCAGGCCCTATTTTTAAAGACACAGGCTTTGTACATAATAGCGACCAACAGGACCTAACATTGGGCTATTGTTTAAAAATTGAATTATGATGGCTGCAAATGACATAATTTAGTGGATAATATCAAATTGTATAACAATTTCTTATGAATATAAAGATACTACGCTTGATCTTAGCCAAAAGGCTGAGAAGCGATTATGAATATAAAGATAACATGAAATTTTATAGTAGTATATTAGAAAACACATGGTAATAGCTAGTAATAAAATCCTTTATATTCAGATGTAACCGTTGTATTTTAAATATAGGTTCAGAAACATTTAGAAGAGTTGATTATAAACAAGGAAATTGTTTTATGCTTGCATTTTAATCTTGTTTGTAAGATATTTTGGGCAGGATATGTCCTTTTTCACTTCTCATAAACATTTTCTTGTGTATCATAGTTTTAATTTTTCAAATATGTTTCTGAAAAATTTTTTAAAAACTGGTAGTTTATGATTTTACTATAAAATACAATCTAAATCAATTTTTATACTAAGATAGGAATAGAGCTGCATTTATTAGTTTTTATGTAAAATATGTAATTCTGCACCCAGAACAAAATACTTAGATACTGTTTGTCTTTAAGTATTAACCTTTAATATTGCATATTCTTTTAAGAAAATCTTTCACTAGATATAGGTCAGCATCTTGATAAAATATTACATTTGGCAGCTACTCATGCTCATTTTTATACTAATTTGGCAATTTGAGAAAGTGCGAACTTTCAGTGGATGGCTGAGGCAGGAAGATCTCTGGGAGTTTCAGGCCAGCCTGGGTTTCATAGTGAGACCCTGTCTCAAAAAGAACAAAACAATCAAAAACAAAAAAAAGTGGATTTTGGTGTAATTAAAATAGAAATTGTTTGAAATTCTGGGTTTTTAGGTTTGACCATTGTATTTTATTTGTTTATAATTAATTAAGTTTATTTGAACATGTTAGATGTACATAATGATCACATTCATCATGGGGAATTTTTACCTATACATGCTATACCTTGAAATTTTTTCCCCACTTACATACCTCCTTTCAACCCCTCTTCCTCTCCTTACTTAAAGAAATTGTTTTCATTTTTTTTCCTTCTTTTCTCATCTTTTTTTTTTTTTTTTTTT